AATCTTAAAAGTATCACCAAATGAATGGTCATCCCCAATTTAGTTGGAATTGACACCTTAAACGTTTTTCTACACTGTTTGGTTCCAAAATTAAGCGCGTTTGCACATTAGACCCGGTGGACTGGCGGCCATCTTGGATTTGACCTCTCACGGTCCTCAGAGGTCAAATCTGACTTCCCTCCACATCTGAAAATAAACATCATGGTATATACTAACTATGTTAGAAATTTCATGCTTTTCTCATAAAATGCACAATTGTTGTGGTTATCCGCTGCACTAGGTGCGTGGTATGCATTGCTGCACCGTGATAGATGTCTCGCGCTACCGCGAGAAAATTCGAGAGATGGCAACAGTAAACAGAAACAAAACGCAAAATTGTAATCGTGCATGATTTTATTGGATTTGGTGAATACGAAAGTTCTAAGACATTTTATCGTTACTCTAGACAATTGCTGTTACTCAAGCAATAACGGTAGGTATCATGAAAGTGGGGAAAACACTTGAAAATTCTCGCAATAGACGCTTTAAGTGATTGTAACATTGCATGCAGTTACGCGCGCTGTTGGTTCTGCCATAATCGTTGTAGACGAATCTAGCTGTGCGGCGTTGGATCATTTCAATTTTTTCTGTCTTTTTTTAAATGTGGGCCCAGACTGTGCAGCCATACTCTAGCTTAGACCGAATGAGAGATTTGTATGCTGTGGCTTTCAGCGTTTTGGGCGCGTATTTCAAATTCTTTTTGACGAAGCCAAGGGTGCTGTTGGCTTTCGCACATAAACTATTGATATATTTGTCCCACTTCAGGGTGTTAGAGAGAATTACGCCGAGATACAGAGTTGACTCAACCTCCTGGAGAAATTTTCCATCTATTTCGTAGAAGTACGATAGCGTCTTTTTTCCGTGTTGTACGCAGGATGTAACACTTCTGGGCGTTAAATCGCATCACCCAGGTCTCGGCCCAGGATTGAAGGATGGACTCTCAGGATTGAAGTCTTGGTGCAGCATTTGCTAGCTGATCCTTGATGGAGTTGATCACCCTATATAGGAGACAATCGTCGGCGAACAATCGCACTTTGCTGGTTACAATGACTGGTAGATCATTGATGTGTATAAGGAACAGTAAAGGGCCAAGGACAGTTCCCTGTGGAACACCCGATTCCACTGAAACACAATCGGAGTGTTCCCCTTCCACGACCACTTGTTGTGATCGATGACAGAGAAATTCCTGGATCCATTTGAGTATGTGGTTTCTGATGCCGTAGTGGCTTAGCTTCTTCAGCAACCTCTGATGGGGCACCGTGTCGAATGCCTTGGTAAAGTCCAGAACGGCTATATCGATCTGTGCCTTGTTATCATGTTGTTGTAGGAGGTCATGTGCGGTAGTCAGTAGCTGGGTCTCACAGGAATGTTCTCGTCGAAAGCCGTGTTGAACGTTGGTCAGGATGTTGTGGGTTTCCAAGTGTGACAGTATATGACGATAAATTACATGTTCCAGAAGTTTACTGCAGACACATGTGAGAGACACTGGACGGTAGTTTTCACATGCGTGCCTGTCTCCTTTCTTGTATACTGGAGTAACGAAAGCCTTTTTCCAGTCGGAGGTTAGTTGACCATCATCAAGGGATTGTTGGAAAATCGCACTCAATATTGGTGCTATCTCGTGAGCTGTTTCTTTCAGGATGCGGTTGGGGATGGCATCCGGACCACAGGCCTTGTTTGGGTTGATTCTGCTGAGAAGCGTTTTCACGCCAGCTTCATCTATGGTGATATCGCCAATAGATGGTTTCGGTTCACCTTGAATGTCAGGGATGTTACTGGTGTTTTCTTGGGTGAACACAGACTAGCTGAACTGATCGTTCAGGAGTTGAGCTTTGGTTTTCGAATCTGCATAAAGTTTTCCACTCTGCCGAAGAGGGGATATTCCAATACTGTCTGCTTTTTGAGATTTAATGTATCTCCAAAATGTTCTTGGGTTATTCTCTTTGAGGCTGAGATTGAGGATTTGGTTCAGATATACCCGATGTGATTGGTTTATTAATTTCCGAACGAGGTAGGTAATCTATCGCCTTATTGGCCTAATTACGTAACGTTGCTGCATCATTTAATCGAAGGACTGATCAGTGATGTGGTAATTTTAAAACTATTAAAAAGAGTGATTCCATCGTAGGCCCGAAACTGAAACTGGTCTGCTCGCAGCTAGACACTTAGACCGAATAATTCTGTCCCATATAACCTTTTTTTATATTTTGGTGAGGGTTAATAATTCCAATAACCCTTACCAAAATATAAAAAAGGTTATATGGGACATAATTATTCGGTCTACTAGTCTAACTAGACACTAAGACAGCAAATGCTAGACAGTGCTGTCTATCGCAGTGCCAGTGCCAGTGGCTATAGAGGGTTTCGCGATTTTTCATATTACCCACAATGCAACGCCGCCGGCCATGACGGATACAGAAACCAGTTCAGGCATGGTACAAGTACATTGAGCAACGCACCTCTGCTTATTTTATATTCGCCTATTAAGCAAATGCATCACAACGCCGCTCTCCTGCGGTGTTGTCAACTGCAGCAATCGGTATCAGAGGGAGCCACACAGCTTTTTTAGGCTGCCTAGCATGATCACAACACAAGGTAAAGTGACGAGATACCAGGCGGACCACAGACGCTTGGAGCATTTTCAATAAAAAACAATGCTGAATAAACACGAAATGTATTTACTATCAATCTCTTAATGTTTCTCTACTCTCTTTCGCCTAGTATTGCCGATAATTACCTGTAAATGCCGGTCAAATGCTCCTCTGGAACACACAGGTACACCTCACGCACGGCGCACGCCGCTACACATTTACGCTTATATACATATATCGCCGGCATCCAGTAGGCAGCTGTTTGAGTGGGGGTGGTGATTCCTCTTGCACGTGTAGCATACTCAACATAAAATAGCACCAAGGCAACATGTGAACAAAATTCACCAAGCCTGGCTTTACAATTACAGTGCGCTGACATGATGCCTGTCCCATATTCTCTCATCGTGACCCATGCACGGATAGAGAGATGGTATAATCAGAGACTGGTAGTGCATAACACGTGCTCGGATAACGTAGATGGGACTCTCACTGTTCACATGATAGGTGTAGACTGATACACCCAACCGCAGAACAGTCGATCGTGGGCATCCAGACTTTTGTGGTTGTGAAAGTCCTTGAGAGTATAAAATGATCTCGGCTAGAATGTTTGGTAGTTCACGAGATCCAAATAGGTGTGTGATGGGAACACATTGTGGTTCTCACTCTATTCGGCATCGTCTATTTAGTACGGGTCGCGATTCCCAATACACGCAATTTTCTCGAGATAGCGTGCTTTGGCTACGTTGTCTAGTGAATTAAAGTACCTATACATACTACGTACACTACAGACAGTCGACAAACGTGCATACAATAGCTATTATAAACAAGAGCCGCAGAGCGTCTGGGCTCATCTGAGGTCTGTTGCTACGATTATAAACGTAAAATTTCAGTCGTGCGTAGTACCGACATTTGTTAGGCGCAGATAGCAGACACGCAGTTGCGTACACATCAATTGTAGGACACGCCCACTATCGCAGATGGGCGGTGGGGGGAGGGGGTGGGGGAGGGGGGGGAGGGTGGGGGGAGGAGCTCTAATAGCAAAAGCAGTCATCACTCCTTTGTTAACAGTTAACAAATCCATGTTTAACCCTCCTCTGAGGGTCAAAAGGTTATCAGACACTTAATCTTCGCACGTCAGTGGAAAGCACATTTCATGGTCCTTTCAATAAAGCCAAAAAATGTGTAGGTCACCGCTGAACAAAAAAGTTTTCAATCGCTCGGTCACACCATGTCCTCGAAAATGTCTAAAATCTGCCCTGTGCCCCATTGACCTTTGACCTGTGACCTCCAATTTGTGCACAGTGATGGCTTTTCCGTACCATGATGCTATACACGCGACTATCACGAGCCTAGGTCGAGCCGTTTTAGATTGTGCCCAATTTGCATTTCCTCCCTATACCTTAAGTTAAGGAGGGAATTGTCCCCTTCTTTACACCTCTTGACCATTTGACCTTTGACCCCAGCTTCGACATCCCAACTCGTTTCGGATTACCCCCCACGTCCCGAATATCGTGACCGTACGTCGAGCGTTTAGATTGGTCCCACGTTGACGCACGGACGCACGGACGCACGGACGATCATGCGATTCTACAAGCTGCATCTGACTATGTCAGATGAGCTAAAAAGCTGCGTTTGATAGCTATAGAGCCTAGATGCAGTAAAATCGGTGAAATTTCTGAACTCTCACGATGTAAACAAACTCAAGTCTATGAACATAATATGTGTTGCGTGCAATCTTCCGATTTGCTCAATCTACGAATCTGCCGACTGTGTGGCAGCCTCATTGAACTGCAGCACCTAAACCCTACGCTGATAAACCTGTCTGGTAAATCGGGATCCTCTTACTTCTAATATCTATTGCAATAATAACACTATAGCCAATGTAAAATCGGTTGATTGTGCATAGGGGCACATTACACGCGACACGTGTTCGCTTATTTTGTAACCGGTATGCCCGGCGGCACGGGATTGTAGGTAATATTGCTATTTTTAGACCAAGTCGAAGAACCCTCTAACCAATCGGTAAAAATAATTCTGAAACTTCCGCTTGACATGCGCGCAGTAATTGTTTGTTTTTCGCAATTATTGTTTATACTGATTTAATTCGTGTCTTCGAATTGACAGCTAGACAGATCAATAGGCAATAGGCAATATTCAATAATAAATTGTGCCCTAGAAATTTTTACAATCTGACATTATTTTAGGTGCTAATTTTAGGTGGTATTTAATTTTTTCGCAAGTTAAATATAATAAACACGTTGAAGTATTGATGGAATAGATTGTAATTCATAAGTGCTAATGTTGTTTTCAGTGATGTATTCTAAAATTATTTTATGCACTAATTTAATAAATTTTGTTGGGTTTTTTCAGATACACGTAAGGAAGCCGAGGACTTGGAGGACTCAACGGCCACTGAGCTGGAGTTGGAAGATGAACCATCCTTCAAGCGACGCAAAAATTAAACCACAATCAGATCCACAATTTGTCCACACGATGACGTTATAACTCCGCTTTGCTAATCTGAGGGTGCGGGTTTAACCCCCCCCCCCAGAACCATTACTGGGGTCTGCGTCGGCTCGGACTAATCCACAATATGAATACTATTTTGACGATAAGTATTTTTTTTTAAATTGTTAAATGAAAGGAGGTAACACCACTCTGTAATGTCAAGATTATTGGTATTTTCTTTTCTAGCTAATGAAAATCCATTAAAAGGCTGGCCCTTTTCGAGTTTGTTCAGCCTAACCGTTGATGTCATCAGGAGCTAATAATGACAAAGGAGTTTGACACGTATTTGGTAATGATTTCACTACATTTTGTCGTACGAGTTCGATGTGAATAAAAAAACAAATGTATACAAACATGAGCTTCTTTTGTTCACTGGTCCTTATTCTATCTTCCGGTAGTATTACAAACCGCGTAGCTTAATCACTTCGTTTTGACATAATTCGTACTTTTGCACGACATGGTTTTCACGTTAGTTACCGTCGTGTGGCGATGCAAAGCCCGAATTCGCACACACAGCTAGTTGAAGGAGGCGCGCCAGGGCTTTTCGGCCGTAGCCTAGTCGAGTGCAGAAAATTCGCCTAGAAATTAAGTTACGTTGCACCAATGCTGGGTTTAAAAATTAAAACTATTTTACATTTAAACTATAGTTATGCTTGTTTTTATGGTTGAATCCCGCAGTTTTTTTAAATAAACGCTGCGCTGGTAAAATATCTGAACTACTTCACCCGTGGAGGAATGATGTGTATGAATCGCTATGAGTAAACTGACGCTCCAGCCGATTGTAGCTTTCGCACATTGTGTTGGCATTAATTGCATAGCAACCGTTAGCTCTAGCCGCGTACAGTGCCGCTGGCCGCTGCGCGATCCCTGCCGTGCCTCCTTCAAGTAGCTGTGTGTGCGAATTTCGGGCTTTGCCTCGCCACACGACGGTAACTAACGCGAAAACCATGTCGTGCAAAAGTACGAATTATGCCAAAACGAAGTAAGCTACGCGGTGTGTAATACTACCGGAAGATAGCATAAGGACCAGTGAACAAAAGAAGCTCATGTTTGTATAAATTTGTATTTTTATTCACATCTAACTCGTACGACAAAATGTAGTGAAATCAGTACCAAATACGTTTCAAACTCCTTTGTCATTATTAGCTACTGATATCATCAGATCTCTTTCTCAAAATTATAGGCCGCCTCTCCCTCTTCAACAGAGAATAGTACATAAAATGTGATTTCAGGAGGAAACCTATGTCATATTTCTGCATTTAAACTCATGTGAATTAAATAAATCCGATATTGACATTTCAGAAAATGAAGTTGAAGAAGATGACCACAAGAATCGGAATTATCCTAAATTCCCGTGGCGTCACCACCTAGAAAACTACCGGTAACGAAGAAATCAAGACTATCTAATACCATGCAGAGGCAGGTTTATTAAATAACTGAATTTTATATTGTATATGCCACAATACTTTCAGAATTGACCGCATATTACAATGGTGCCTCGTGAAAAGTGACCCGTTATAAAGCTGTTTCAGTATAAATAATTAAGGAAGTTAAAATGTTACTACAAATGTATGTTATTGTATAAAAAAAAACCTCAGTATTGGGCGATTCACCTCTAATATGGGATCTTGCATTCGCTCCCTGCAATAGTGTTAAAGTTATTTTCTGCTGTATGAATTGACGGTACATCGTGTATTCATTTAAACTTTGATCTCTTACTCAACATTATAGGCTCATGGCCCGATTCTTCCTCTTCAACAGAGAATAATACATAAATTGTTATTTCAGGAGGATATGTCAATATTTCTGCATTTAAAGGGATAGTAGACTCTAGGATTTTACTGCATACAACTGTACTTACTGTATAACAAATCGTCTATAACCACACGTTTTTGTTACCAGATACCTAATTTAATTGTTATAATTAATTACACATCAACGCTACGAAATTTGAACGGTGCCATGACACCCGCGACCGTGCTGCCACCCTCAAAAAGTTGCGTGTTTGCCAATTTATTTTGCACGTTACAGACCGAGGGCTAATCACAAAGGTGCAATTATATTCATACCTAAATGCTATTTAACCGAACGATATTCATTTTAGGACAAATTTATCCATAATATAACTGAAACTATATGTCGTTTATAAGATATTACAATCCTTTTGCTTTTAAATTAATAAATAAAAAACACCCTCGCCCTTGGCTGAAAAGTGGTTTTTCTGCAACTTATCAGATCGTGCGCTTTGAGTGGCGCCACCGTCGTTGTAATCAAACTGTAGTCGTTAGTTAAAAAAAAATTAATATTATGACACGTGACCACTATTAAATCACTTCCGGTTCATTACCCTGTTAGGTTAGAGGATGTGACGCGTCATCGGCCGATCAATCGCAGTGCCCGCAGCTCGTGCACTAAGGCTGACGCGATGTTTTGTGGTTGCATTATTTAGGCTGGCTGTCGTGTGTGTCAATGACATGCACATGGAGATGGGTGGATGGTTACTGGTAATTTAAAACGAATTCTTTCAATGTATGGCCCCCATTCGACTGCGCAACTGTTTTTCAGGCACAAATGTTGTGTTGGTTGGTAAATTCGCTATATTTTTTTAAAACGCCGGACAACATATGTCATAACTCTAATGGTGCACAGCTGAAGTAGATGGCTACCTAGCTTTAATATTGCCACTCGGCCGAAAACGGTAGAAATACTATTTTTCAGCTCCTGAAATTCAATTATTACGTATAGGATCCTATGGAGGATGTAAAAGTGGTCTGTTCTCTTATTTCTAATGGTGATTGAACCATGAAACTTTTTATGTAGCGTAATTTTAACCTAAATTAGCTGAAAATAACCCTAAAACCTAGAGTAAACGATCCATTTAAACTCTTGTACAATAAATAAATCCGATATCGATATTTCAGAAAATGGACAAAACAGTTCAGTTGAAGTCATATCATATCATGAAGTTGATGGTCATCATGAGAATCCAAATTATCATGAATTCCTGTCACCACCTAGAAAACTACCGGTAACGAAGACATCAAGATCATCTAATATCAGTGGTAGGCTTAGAAACATAATTAATTGAATTATGTGGGGCATTTGACCTAGTGCCCCTCTCCCCCCCCCCATCCAGCCCTAGCTGCTGTACCTCTTGGCCAGAGTGGGGTAGTGTGCAATTTACGAAGAGGAAGTGTCGGTCCCATTCCCAAAGAAATTATTAGTAATTTTTATTGTTGGAATGTATAAGACCCTTTAAGTGAACTGAGAAGCTTCCATTAAGGATGTGTGAACAAAATTCACTGCTAGATGGTGTGTTAAAAGCGCTTGTCGTTATTATCATTTTTCCCAATCTTTTATTTTTTCAGGAGTCGGAGAATCACCATTGAACAGTATGGTATATGACGATAACACCAGTGCCAGTGGTAGGCATAGTAATTAAAATACATTGCTAAAATGAATGAATTCACAGGCAAAGTTAGCAGCAAAAAATAGCGAGACTAAAGCTAATCTACACAACATTCCATCGGGATCAGTATTTTGTCTAGTGTAGACTTGAGAAATTCTCTGGTGTAGATAGGGGCTTGAAGTTTAGACAGAAAGTCCAAGCCTTGACCCTAACCCTAACCATATGACATCATTTGGACTCCAGCATGAAATCTTATAACACTCCATTTTCTTTTCAGAAAACAGCAGTACATGTCTGTGGTGATATGCGTTCACAAGCACTAGCGTAGTGATACGCCACAATATAGTGCGAGGCGTAAACCGGTGATCACAGGGGCTGAAAAGAGTTCCATGTAGAGCCATCTTTGAATGCTAATAAAGAGCGTGACACCGCTCCATGGAAATGCCTGTCTTTGGCTTATAATAGCTATACCAATACTATTACATGGTGGCAGCGGAAAAGTGAACTATCGGTTGACACATCTACGGTGATGTCATAGTGTATACAGACGGTGGATAAGACTTTGCATCTGAATCTGTAGTGACCATCGCTACAGTGCGAACTCGCCGGTCGCGTGTATATATACACTATACTGTATACACAAAATGCAATAGACGTGTGCCTGGACATACACAAGTTTCGTGTTGCACTGTGCGCTAGGAAACTTGGGGTAAGTGAATGGTGCTGACTGTATGTCAAATATCAGTACGCCATTTTTACCACTTACAACTGACAAAATAACATTAGTGTGAGCAGTGAAGTGAGCCACAGCGAAATGGCAACCAAAATGCCACAAATGCACTGGGGCCACAGCCCAGTGGTAGACTCGTATAGGGCTTTTAAGGCACGCATGGACCTATATTTTGAAGACTGCGAGATCACTGATGAAGGAAAAAAGCTACCAAGATAAAGCTTGCCATTGAAGATGAAGGGATGAGACGTGTCCTAGCATCAGGGCTGTCGACAGAAGACCAAAAAGACCCAGAGAAAATTTGGGACTTGCTAGAATCGCAAGTGGATGCCACGGTCAAGATAAACTTCAGAGTACATAGGCTAGAATTTTTCAACATGAGACAAAAACCAGACGAAGACATTACTACATACATGTCCCGTCTGCGAGAAAAAGCCACGAAATGTGAATTCGTGGCAGAGGAGTTACATGAAAGACTGATAGAGATGATAATTCTCTCCACACCTTTCGATGACTTTCGCAAAGAGCTTTTGACTAAAGTAAAGGGACATGAGATACGGCAAGTATTGGAGAGAGGAAGAGATTATGAAGCGATTCAAGCGTCACAGGCATCGCTCAGTGCCATGAAGGGAAACGGCCCAAGGGTGGATGAAGTCTCCGTACAGAAACAGAAGTGTCATAATTGTTGGCTGAATCATGCCCCCAGATCATGTCCTGCATATAGGGACAAATGTCACACCTGTGGCAGGCTCGGGCATTGGAAGAAACTATGCAGATCTGGGGGCAGCGGTCCAAAGAAATTTCAGAGAAGCCACAAGTACGAGAGGAATAACACGTCAGGTCATGCGAGAGACACTAAGACAAGACACAGATTCGACAGGAGGGGCCAACACGAGCTATGTGTGAGTGACAATGAAAGTACTAGTGACAGCGACACACAAGCAAAAAGCTTTTACTCACTACAAGTAAGTGACATCGCACTACACAACATAGATAGGAGTGAGGCATATGCATCGCTGATCGTACATCCCACCCACCCCAGGGTGGAAGGTCCAATTCGACTAAAGGTTGATACGGGTGCAGCCGGGAACACACTACCGTTGAGAACATACAAACAGATGTTTGGAGATACTCCGCACATGGACATTCTCGAGCGGGAACGAGTGAGACTCACATCATACAGTGGTCACTCGATAAAATGCATTGGGTCTCTAAAGCTTGGTCTCCAACGCAGGCACAATAACGAGATCCAGCAACACAAGTTCTATGTGGTAGACGTACCAGGACCAGCTATCATGGCTTACAAGCAAGTCAAGACCTGAATCTGATCAGCATAGACAATGGTGTGATTAATGGGAAGTCACACATACATGAGATTAACACGGCAGCCAGTGTTAATGAGCCACCGCCCACCACCCGAATGAACACGACTGAAGACCTCAAGTGGTGGTTCCCGGAATGTTTTGACAAAATTGGATGTTTCAAGGGCGAAGCCGAGCTACATCTGAAGCCGGACGCCGAACCACATATTGATCCACCAAGGAGATGTGCAATTCACTTACGCTCCAGAATTGAAGCAGAGCTTAAGAAGATGGAGAGGGATGGGATCATACGCCCAGTCACGAGCCACACGGACTGGTGTTCATCCCTTACCTAGGCAACCAAGCAGGACGGTAGTCTGAGAATATGTCTGAACCCAAAAAAGCTGATTGAATCGCTGAAGCGGTGTCCACACAAAATTCCAACCATCGAGGAGATAAATCCTGCGTTTGCAAATGCCAAATACTTCACGAAGCTAGACGCAAAGGCGGGATACTGGAGTGTCCAGCTGTCCGAAGCTACACAAGAGCTCACCACTTTTCGCACACCGTTTGGTAGGTGGTGTTTTCGCCGTTTACCGTTTGGGCTATGTGTCAGTCAAGACATCTTTCAACAGAAGATGGATGACATTATCGCCCAGTGCGAGGGTGTCGTCGGCATCACGGACGACATTGTCGTGTGCGGCGAAACGGAAGAAGAGCACGATAGAAGACTGGTAGCTTTCCTGAAGGTAGCACGCAAAGACGGCCTAGTGCTCAATTCTTCGAAATGTGTGGTGAAAACGAACCAAATAACATTCTTTGGTCGCCTTTACACAGACAAAGGCATGTTTCCCGACCCAGGGAAAGTGGAGGACATTATCGCAATGCCCACACCACAAGACAAGCAGGACATGCAGAGATTCCTTGGCATGGTGACCTTCATGTCAAGCCACTTGCCCAAGCTGTCGGACAGCACAGCTACTCTGAGAGACCTACTCAAGGAAAGTGTTCCGTTCGAATGGAGTGAGGATCACCAGGCAGCATACAAGGGAGTCAAAGACTTGGTCGCTGCTAGTGTCGGGTTACGATACTATGACCCAACACAGGACGTTTCCTTAGAGGTAGATGCATCGGCTCGGGGGCTCGGAGCAGCCTTGGTCCAAGCAAACGGACCAGTCGCGTTCGCTAGCAAAACATTAACGACTGCACAGTGTCACTACAGCAATCTCGAGAGGGAGTGCTTGGCGATCGTTCACGGGATCCAGCGATATCACCATTACTTGTTTGGCCGCCATTTTGAAATCATCACGGACCACAAGCCGCTGGAGATGATTCTCCGGAAACCGCTCTGTGCAGCACCACCTCGACTGCAGAGAATGTTGGTGAAAGTCCAAGGGTATGATTTTGAGATACACTATAGGCCAGGACCCAAGATGGTATTAGCCGACACCTTGTCTAGGCTACCGAACCAGCACAAGGATGGTGAGATTGAGCTAGATCACAATGTTGACTGCATTGAACTGGACATGATAAACTTCTCGCCTACAAAACAGGGTCAGTTGAGAAGTGAAACGGCACGAGATCCTATACTTCGTGCATTATTACAAACAATCTTCACGGGCTGGTCAGACAGGATGCAGGAACTTCCGCTAGACCTAAGGAGCTTCTGGAGCTTCCGGGATGAGTTGGCAGTTGAGAATGGTGTCATCTTCAAAGGCAAACAAGTGGTGGTACCAGCCACCTTGAGAAGTGACATACTGAAACAGCTACACGAAGGTGACCAAGGAACTGAGAAAACCAAGCGTCTTGCTCGTGAAAGTGTGTTCTGGCCCAGGATTAGTGGTGACATTGAGCAGATATGTAAGAATTGCGAACCATGTCAAGAAATGCAACCACAACAACCAAAGCAACCAATGAGGATGCACGAGAGACCCAACAGTCCTTGGACCAAGCTGGGGACAGATTTGTTTGAGATCAATCAGAAGCAGTATCTGATCATTTCCGACTACTACAGCCGCTATCCAGTGGTTAAGCAGCTCGAGAGCACCACAGCCAAAGCTGTAATCTCAGCAACGAAGGAGATTTTCAGTCTTCTGGGGGTGCCACGGGTAATCGTCTCGGATAACGGACCCCAGTATCTGAGCGAATATGACGTATTCTGTTCAAAGTGGGGGATAGAGCATGTCACAAGCACAGATATGCCCAGTTCAACGATTCGTAGAGCGACAGATTCGGTATATCAAGCCGATTATCAAGAAGTGTTTGAAGACGGGGGGAGACGTTGATCTAGCTCTTCTCAATGTGAGAGCTACTCCATTAGATGGCAATCTGCCCAGCCCAGCAGAGTTGATGTTTGGTAGAGCCATTCCCACGACACTACCTAGTCACACCACAGTGAGTTCTCAGCAGGAGAGATATGGTGAACACATTTCGGATGCCATCGAGAAACAGACATGGTATGCTAACCAGCATACACGCGAGCAGGCACCGCTCATCGAGGACAGAACGTCGGGTTACTGAACAAGGACAAGAAAATCTGGTGTGCAGGAACAGTAGTGAAGCAGTGCAACGAGAACGATCGGTCATACGTTGTGGAAATGGAAGGTGGTAACCAGTTCCGACGTAATCGGGTTCAAATACGTGAGACGCCCAGGCGACAGTAGAGAGTCAAGTTCGGACCAGTCGTGTGGATCACGAGGCTGAGAAAGTTCGAGTCACAATAACAATGTTGCAGAGACAGATGTGAACAGACCACACGATACACGCTTAACAGTGGTTCATCAGGGGGTGTTCAGGGGACTATCACTCGGTCGGGTCGGGTGGTGAAGATACCCGTGAGATTCAAAGATGAGTGAAAAGAAAACACTGTTTGTAGTGTAGTTAAGATTGAGATAGTTTTGGTTTATTCAGTTTTGATTCCTTATTGTAAAGAGAGGGGGATGTGGTGATTGCGTTCACAAGCACTAGCGTAGTGATACGCCACAATATAGTGCGAGGCGTAAACGCGTGATCACATGGGCTGGAAAGCATTCCATGTATAGCCATGTTTAATGCTAATAAAGAGCTTGACACCGCTCCATGGAAATGCCTGTCTTTGGCTTATAATAGCTATACCAATACTATTACATTTTCGCTCTCAATATAGTCTCCCGGACCTTATGAAGACTAATATTTACGACGTTACATAGTCGTGTGCTTTCTAGTCGGCACAATGACTCGCCTGGGTAAACAGTGCAACCGGTGGCAGCGTAGACACGTCAGAGTGGCTATCTCAATATTACGCTTGCTCAGCCCAACTTGGCGTGCAGGCTACATGAATAGTTTACACGCACGCGCACACCTGCTGCCTCTGTTACGCTGCGATTAGGGTTACGATTTTGTTAGTGTTAGAGTGAGGGGAAGGGTAAGTGTTAGTTAGGGTAAGGGTTAGTGATAGAGTAAGGGTAAGGGTTAGAGCTTCTGTTATGCTGCTTGATTCGGGTTACGATTTTGTTATTGTTAGAGTTAGGGGAAGGGTAAGTGTTAGGGTAAGGGTTAGTGATATAGTAAGGGTAAGGGTTAGAGCTTCTGTTATGCTGTGATTAGGGTTACAATTCGGTTGGGATTAGTGTTACAGTTAGGGTGAGGGTTAGAACTTTGATTTGGTAAGGATTAAGGTTAGAGCATGGTTATTCTGTTAGGATTAGAGCTGCAATTCAGTTAGTGGATTCCCTACTCCCAGTTATTCCAAGGTGTGGGAGACCTCAAGAAAGGGAGACTCGGAGATAAAGGCGATTCCAAAGCAAGGGAGACTCCAAAAAGAGAGACCTCAAAAACAGGACGGCTCCCTTATCTGTATTTAACATCCATAGCAGGGCTCCCTCTGCATATTTTAAAATTTGAGTTAAGACTTGAGCCACCGAAGTTATTTTTCAGCCACCAAAAAAAAAACTATAGCCACTGTAGTCCACGGAAATCTTAGCATTTGAGCGTGAAAAAAAGCAACAGAAAATTATTTCACTGCAGTTGGTTTTAGCCAAAGAGCAACATACTAAAAGTCCTAAGAAATCCTCCCACGCAAATTTGCATAATTTGCATAAATCCAAAATGGCCGCCAATTTCCATGATTTTGTAATATTTCTGCTATCCAAGGACATATATTTCAGTAATTTAAAGTTCTATTTATAATTATTATTGCATGGAGAATGCATTTAGCTATATTAGAATGCGAATGGGTCACTCCCTGACATGCAAAAATGCAATATAGCCGCCATAATTAGCATAAATCCAAGATGGCCGCCAATTTTCATTATTTTGCAATATTTCTGCTATCCAAGGATATATTTGAGTAAATGAAAGTACTATTATGATGATTGTTGGCATGGAGAATGCATTTACCTATATTAGAATAAAAATGGATCACTCCCTATCATGCGAAAATGCAATAGGGCTGCCCTAATTTGCATAAATCAAATATGGCCGTTATTTAATTATATGTATAAATGTTTATCTTGCATGAGGATTTCTTATTCGGATTGCCAAATGGTTAATTTGTTAGACAACAATAACAAATACTACGTACATATTTATCTCATTATTATCAATTGTCATATATTAAGAAATTAGAATTAGAGTTAGTTTAGATCTTTGTATTAGGAGACTTTAAAATGCAAAATTGCCAGTATTTGCAATTATGAAAAAACATTCCACGGGATGGGCATAATAGCTACCACTACGCCACATGAAAAATCACCCAGTGCGCCGATTTCTAAAGTATGTGTGACGACTGCAGACATTGCTGAAGTTGGACGCATAAACATTGAGTACATCAAGATGCAACCTAAAATTCTACCTCTAATGTATCGGCCACTTGGGGATATTTCAATGGATGCAACTTCTCATCTCGATATATTGTAGAAGACGTCTCTCCTTTTAGGCTCTCCTAGACCATCGTGGTCTGGGATGATGCAGATGTTACAGCACGGTCCATATCCAGGACACTCATCTGTGATGTTTCTGCCCATGATTGATCTTGAGATCCT